GTAAAATGACCAAGCAGCAATGAAAGGCGAGGGCTCACAACATGGTTGGTTTTTCATATCTATATTGGAGACTTTAGCAGGTTGATCAACATGATCGGCATTGACCACGAACACGCCCAAAAAGAGAAAGTGTTCGGAATATCTTCTCCTAAACGAGTCTAATTTTGGACGAATTCTGCAGCCTATGACGACGCTAAGGAAATTTAGTCGCTGCAAATCATCCTCGATTATGTGATTAGGGAGCCGTTTTTAACATCAGGTGACCGAAATGATCCTTCCCTGTCGTAAAATATCAAAATGTAGCCAGCGTTCCGTTCTATTACTTCGTAGCTCATGTCCGATACCGCGAACACGAAGCATTTCCCGGTTCTTGATGCAGGTGACTACGTTGTCTTGACCCCCGCTGCCACCCACAGGATGCTGTCCCGAGCCTCCAATTCGATGCTTCAGACATACTCTCCCGAGACGCCTGCCAATCATTGAAGGATTATAAGATCTTTCTCGATATTCGCGCCGATGATCATGTAGCGGTGAGCTATAGTATGATTCTATGAGCCGGAAGAAATAAAATCTCGCATTTAGCCTCGAGATGCAAATGAGATGACCCCGCTAGTTGAGCATTGGACCACTGAATAAGAGATAGATTGCATGAAGGAATTTCGCTTGCCCCAGATGGTGTGCATGGAGGGGTACATTCCAACTATCCTCCAATGCCATCGCACGGCTGGCGGCATTTTCGTGCTCAAATGCCGCAGGATCTCAAGGTGGGATGATGCTTGCCATCGTTTTGCAAAGCCAATTCACTCTCCATCTAAAGATTATTGAGTGAGGTTGAAAATTGCACGACCATGACAAATTTAGTCCTAGATCGATTGTTTCCGGTAGATCTACACAAATTCCCTCGTTTTTGAGTCCAACAAAGTTCCTAAAACCAGTTTCTGTTTACCTACTGAGCCATCCGTGGTTCTGGCATGTGTCTCTTCTTATCTGGCGGGGCAAGATCTGGATGACTCAGCTGCTGCAAAACGAGACTAGCCATTTCCGTAAGTGCTGGTCGCAATGTGGGGATAGGGCTACACGTGACGCCAACGTCATGATTCGTACAACGTAGCTTCCCCAACGGGATTTCCAGGTACCTCTGTGATTTTCAACATTCGTATTCAGAATGTGTTGAACATGACCACTGAGAAGAAACCTGCAGTGTACGACCCTTACGATCCGGCCTGTCTGCCTGACTATGACCGCGACTTCATTAAGCCCGGTGAACTTGACCGATTCGAGAGGGCGCTGAATGCCCCAGAAGCCTCTCCACTGACAGCCATCAACGACTGGCGCCCAATCAATCAACGAGTCCGCAAAAGTCGGGGCCGTCGCAAAACGCCAAAGCGGAGCAAGGATGAAACGAGGGAAGGCGTGCTATATTCTGTTTTGAAATGGCCCTTCCTCTTCTTTGTATTCGCGTGGCTCATAGTATTGAGCTTTGGCTATGTTCTGGTGCGCGTCTATATATTACTGTATGAGCATTGGGTTACCTGGCGGGGGAAGAGGGAAAGGCTACGCCGAGAGCTATCTGCACAGAAAAACTATCCCGATTGGTTGAAGGCGGCTCGGGCGCTGGACGTCCACCTCGGAACCGAAGATTGGAAGAAGACAGATGAATACGCCTACTACGACCATCTCACTGTCAACAAAGTGGTGACACAGCTGAAGCAGCTGAGGAAGGATGTGGAATGGGAAACGGAAAATGGTCGGGTCGGCTCCAGCGAGGTACCTGCCATTGAAGACCTTCGAGCACTTTTGGAGGCTTGCGTCAAGAACAACTTTGCCGGCGTGGAAAATCCTCGAATATACAGCGAGACCTATTCGGGGACCAAGGAGCTGGTTCAGGAGTACATCGACGAAGTGCACGCATGCATACAGATCGTCTTGGGCAATAAGCAGATTGACAAGGATGCCAAGTATCAACTTTTCAAACACTTCGACACGAACTTCGGACGCACCGCTCTTTGTCTTTCGGGGGGAGCCACATTTGCTTACTACCACTTCGGGGTTGTGAGAGCGCTGCTAGACAATGGTGTCCTCCCAGAAATCATAACTGGCACGTCAGGCGGAGCACTGGTGGCGGGTCTAGTCGCGACTCGGACAGACGATGAGCTGAAGCAGCTGCTCGTTCCAGCTTTAGCACATCGGATCCGCGCATGTCACGAAGGACTGGCAACTTGGATCCATCGATGGTGGCGAACTGGTGCTCGGTTCGATACTCTGGACTGGGCTCAGCAATGCTCCTGGTTCTGTAGAGGCTCAATGACCTTTCGTGAAGCTTACGAGCGGACTGGGCGCATTTTGAATGTCACCTGCGTGCCCTCGGATCCTCACTCACCGACTATCCTAGCCAATTATCTGACATGCCCCGATTGCGTCATCTGGAGTGCCGTACTTGCTTCGGCGGCTGTTCCAGGCATTTTAAACCCGGTTGTGTTAATGATCAAAAAGCGTGATGGATCTCTCGCTCCCTATTCGTTTGGACACAAATGGAAGGATGGTAGCCTGCGTACTGACATACCTATCAAAGCGTTGAATCTGCATTTTAATGTCAACTTTACAATCGTATCCCAGGTAAAATCAATTTCCTCGATTTTTTACTGTTTTGCCACTAACACTATCCCAGGTTAACCCTCACATCAACCTTTTCTTCTTTAGTTCTAGAGGAACAGTTGGGCGGCCAGTCACACACCGCAAGGGCCGTGGCTGGCGCGGCGGCTTCCTCGGCACTGCGATCGAACAGTACATCAAATTAGACCTCAACAAATGGCTTCGAGTTCTTCGGCACTTGGAGCTCCTTCCCCGACCTATGGGCCAAGACTGGAGCGAGATCTGGTTGCAAAAATTCAGTGGCACTGCGACGATTTGGCCAAAAACTATTCCCTCCGATTTCATCCACATTCTTTCCGATCCTAATCCTGAACGGCTCGCCCGCATGATACATGTCGGCCAGCAAAGCGCTTTCTCCAAGATTCAATTTATCCAAAATCGCCTTAAGGTCGAGAACGTGATCACGAAAGGACTCCAAGAATCTAAAGCGGGTGGACGCGCACTATCCCCGGTCCTCTCTCGTCAAGTTCGCGATCGAGAGAATGAACATACAGATCCTATGGTCGAGCGTTTAGATGAAAATCTTCCCGAGCGCGATGGTTGTAGCTGCAAGAGCGAGTCGCGTTTCGGTGACTTGTCAGATAGCATATCCCAGTCCACCAGCTCATCGCGTCCTCAGACGCCAAGTTCCCGGCGGGGAAGTGTGATCGAGGAAATTAGACGCCAGTCTGCCGTTTTCTTTGACGATGCCGACTATTATCGGGATGGGGACGAAAACGCCGTGGTCATCTGAGGAAACCCACAGGAGGCTCGAGCGGCTCCAAAATTTATGGCTCGGACTAGGGTCGTTCTGCTTCGGGGCACCTGCAGCCCTATCTCGTGGTGAAACTTCCAGCTACTTTGGATATTCTCAATCCAGTATGACGAGCGGCTCTCGTTAGTATTTGCGGACACTTTCAGACAACACATCCGTTGTTCTTGCTTGGTGTCCTTGACTTTTTGTTCCCCGCTCATCCCTCTTTAGCATAGCAAGGTGTCTTCACTTGATCCTTTTGGCTTCGCCTGTAAGTTTTTGTCCGTTACCTTGATCACACTCTTTATTGTGTCTTTCTTCCTTTTCTCAAAATGGGCTGTGTGTACATAGACAACTTCAAGTGTACAAATAGTAAGGTTTGGGGGAGATTGATTTATTACAATCGAAGTACTACCTTATAACATCCGTAGGTTTCTATCACTTAAAAGCCCGGAACCGCTCTATAAAAGATCTGATTTCTTTTAAAGATTGGGTTTATCCTCGCTATCATTGATTCTAGAGATAAATAGACTTTGAAAAGTTAACACCTCAAATCTGAATTAAATATCGGAGATCTGCTTATAATAACGGCGACGATATAGCTTACGGCTCGTGATTTTATAGAATAACAATATTGTGGGATTTGGAGCTGTTGTATGCGTGTACAATTTTCAGGTGTATAGCCTATCAACCGGGTAGGACACGCCGGCGGTGGGGAAGCAGCATATAATGGTACAGAGTTTCAACCCTAATTCTTGCTTGAATTCGAGGGGTCCTTAGGACCCTTCGACTATAGGAGAAACAGATACGTAGCTTATAATCAATCCGGTTTATACCGAGCTAATCCTAGATCGCTTACGATATTACACCGATTTCCCTTTTAGAGTATTCTAGTAATAAGGATCTATGAATTGTTTACCAATCGCTCGGTGTTTATCCATGGTTACCCAATGATCGATGGTTGGGCTGGTCATAGACCTTGTCGCTTTCCGTATTAACACATCCACTGCATCAGTGGTCTAGTGGTTATGATGCTAGTCTTCCATGTTGAGGAATTTCCTTTCCAAGTTAACTGGCGAGGGGGGTTCGATTCCCTCCTGATGCATTCTTTTTTATCGGTTGTCATATTTACAAGTGGGGCCTTTCGTTGATTGATGGCTTTGTACGGAGCACGGAGTGCTCCATCCACTTTTGTTCATAAGAATACTGGGATTCGCTTTGAAGATAACGTTATTGAAAAAGTCTACGAGCTCCGAAATTGTGAATTGAACTAGTCAACGTCATACGTAGATAAGGACTCATCGAATTCGTTTCGGATATATTAAGCGTAAGAGAAGAAGACAGGCCAGTGGCTACGCCCGAAGTACGACGGGATTACCATAAATGCGAAGGCGAAACTCAGATCTAACTACATACAAAGCTGCCCTGGTTCTACTGTACAAGGTTCCTCTTAATGCGCACTGGTGATCATTCAACCTCAAATAACGTTGGTTTAATCTGTGGTAGAGGGTGATTAATACTTTTCAAGGGTCTCTATATATAGTCTACAGGGATAAGCATATTAATAGGTAAAACATATCCACGAAATACAACAAAAGCCTAGCAGGGTGGGATATCACTCTGTTCGTCGGATACGAATGCCACCATGCCACCCAACCCATCCCTTCTCAGCCGGACCACGAAGAAGACAGATAAGCAGCGCCGCCCCAAGAAACGCTAGATTGACACTGCCCGACAGAATCCATCCCCCTTGACTGTAAAGACGATTTCCAACAGAGGTCCCCATAAGCTGACCACAGAACACGCCCATCATGTATCCCGTGTTAATCCGATTCCGCGCCTTGGGTGCAACACTGTAGATTGAAACACGATTGGCAATTTGACTCATCTGCAGGCCAAAATCCTGCAACGCAGCCTGGATAATTGGGCCCGCAACACTAAACGTGCCTGTATAGGTACCGATGCTGACGCCGACGATCAATATGCCAAAACTGATCAGTATGGAAAACTGCGGTACAAATTGGTCGATCATGTAGCGCGAGAAGAGCGGGCCCAGGAACATGGGTGTAAGACCTGCTAGAGAAAAGAGTCCGATTATTACGGTTGGGTAGTGGTAGGGATCCCCAGATAGCAGGAAGGTAAGTGTTGTCCAGAAACTGGTGAATGTGGCTGAAAGGAAAAAGCCCATGAGAGTTGCCTGGACTAGCACTGGGGATTTCCAGTAGTATCCGATGATGGAATACAGGATCTTGAAGTAGGAGATGTTGGTGTTTGTTGATGGGTAGTCCGGCATGAACAGCCATAAAAGGGCAAATATGAGGAATTGGAGGCCTAGTGACAGCCAATAAATATTTCGCCAGAATGAGTATTCCGCGACTATACCCGAAAGCAGGCGAGCGAAGAGAAGGCCCAGAACGAGCCCTGAAGACACGATTGACAGGGCCGTTGCACGACGAGCTGGGGGCACGAGATCTCCGACGAGAGGGAGCATGATTTGCTGTATAGATAATAGGATTGGTGTTCAGGTCAGATCATCGGATATGCTTGCTTGGAACCACTTACTGGAGTAACAGTCGTGATCGACGACAGATAACTTAGAACAAGGAATACCTCGAATGAATTGGTGATACAGACACCAATCCACAATGCCGCAGTAAGAAGCGTCAACAGCAGAACAAAGTGTCTTCTCCGAACTAAGTCCCCAAGGGGACAAAGAAAGATTAATCCCGTCGCATATCCAGCCTGACTGCAGGTCGGGATCAATGAGGCTCGCTCATGCGAGACATTGAAGAATTGGGCAAGGACATCAAGAATGGGATGTGAATAGTATAGATTGGCAACCTGTATGAACATGTCAGCAGTGATTATGGCATATTTCGATATTTCATTTCGTATTACCGTGACAGTTCCCGAGAATGCGAACAGGACGTTCAAAGGCAAGCCGAATTTCCTCGGATTCTCTGTGTTCCATCGACATCGCGACGGTGTCCACGAAACGACATCGACAAAGCGTTTCCAATACTTGTGGTTCCCTACTGAAACTTCTGTCGAGCTTTGAATATTGACATCATGCCCTTTTTCGCCCTCGCCAAGCTCCTGAACCGTCGGGGAGTTGGAATTTGCCGAGGTAATCGGCAGCAGTTCTGCGGGACTTTCAATTTGAGAGCTGGAATGGGTTCCCACTCTTGGGGTGTTTTCTGCAGACATTTGATAGTGCTTGAGATCTTATGTGACCGTACGTTCTTCTTTCAATGACTCAATGACATCAACGAGGCAGAAAGACATCGGCAGGTTTAGGGAGGATTTGTGTGAGATAGGGTCGAAACAGCTTGAAGGAAATTATCACCTTGACATGCAGGCTAGGCATTTATGAGCCAGTAATAATCCAAAGTCGTTAGGCCTATGTAATTGATTAGCAAGAATCTCAACTTCATGCTATTTCCGCATGCATCTCCGCACTACCCCCCCCACATTCTTGCGGCAGATCAACTTGTAATGCCTTTAAGGGTAAATCTCCATAACAGAAATCGACAATCATTTTTTAGAGGTCAGTGGTTAGAACAGAGCATGCATACAATTGCATGCGGTTTTACAATTAGGGCCGCATCCTCTAGGGGTCAAAGCACTAGAAAATTGGTGCTGATGGCCAACGCATCGGTGGTGCAATTAACAAAGCAAGGCTTCATCTGTGCACCGAGGTGCGATAGAAAAAAACAAAAGGGCCAAGTACTCAATTCTCAAGAGTAAGCAGAGCAGACCAGACCATCCCCGTGCAAAAGAGGCAGCTTTCTGTCCGAGAGCTCTAGCATGCATTGGCGGTATATAACCTCCACAACTATTACCCAAAGCACTGGGGTTATTGTACCCATAGAGCCTCGGCTATATACCTAGAAGTCATGGACTTTCTAGTATGTGGGATAAAGTTTGATGAATCAGACCAGGCATTACTGGGAGTTATACCGGTGTAAAATCGGCACTCCCCACTGGTGGTCTTTTGCTTCTATATCGATTGTCGTCGTTCTGTAGACAGCCCTTTCTACAGCGGCAGAGACTGGACATGAGGTATTGTGGTCAGGCTGTTGACTGACTGATCGATCGCGGCCGGCATAAGCAACAAGCAACGTGCATTGGACAGTGATCAAGTTACTCTTGAGTCGGGGATTTGGCACAGAAGGAAAGGACATAGATGGAAGAATAGCTCTATGCGGGGCCGCAACGCATGGTGTGGAGGAAACTATCTATTTACTACTCGAAAATAGCGTCAATACCAAGAGATCACAGAGGCTGCATTCCGCTGTCAAGGGCAGCAGAGTCGAGAAGAACTTCAATTATCACACTACTGCTCAAGAACGGGGTAGATGTCAAGCTGACAATAGACAACATATCTGCAGCGTTGGACATTGCTTTGCAAATGAAGCATTCCGATATGGCCGTGTTACTCCTCAAGCAAGGTGCTGATATTAGAACGAGGAACGATAAAGGATGGACGCCACTGCATGAGGCCTCGCAAACGGCTTGATCAAAACCGTCAAATGACCATCGAACAGGGACGCGGAAACAAATGCGAAGGCGATGTGTGGGACGACGCCACTCCATGTTGCCTCTTCTTGGGACCATGTTGGGATTCACGCATGTGATACTCTTGATTTTGAAGTTCTAACCCAGAAGATACACGTTGCAAAGCAGGCAATTTCATAGCAGCATGAACTGAGATCAGATGACAAGCCATTTTTCTGTAACAGCCTTCGCCAACTTTGCGTTGCCGCTGAGAACATGAATACACTGCAGCGCATAGGCAGCCTCGCGCGAGAAATCCTCAACAAAATGCTGACCAGTGGGCGACGAAGTCTCCTGTGGTTTGCCATTATCACCCATAATCACTTCAGCATTGTCTGTTGCAGATGTCTGTTTTAGAGATGATTTCAATTTGGCCTGTTCCTGAATCTGCTGACCGAGTTTCAACACACGGTCATACTTCTCGATGGCAAGGTGGGCCAGACCAAGCGAGTGCCAGACACGAGCAAAGTTGAATTCCATCTCCTGTTTTTCGGCTAGAAGAGTTCCAGGCTTTTCACGAACCAGCCGGTATTCATGCATAAAGGATAGTCCTTGCATAATAAGGTAGTGACGATTCTCGGATTGTCGTTTGAGAGAGTGATGGATGAAGGAGAGTGCGATGGAGAGGAGAACGGCCGGGTTTTGGTCGTCTAGAGCGTATGCTCGGAAGAAATAGTTTAGCGCGGGGTAGAAACTGTTTCCTGAGTACAGCATGTGGCCGTAGAGCACAAGAAGAGCAATGTCTAACGATTTCGCGGTGATAGGTTCACCGGCTTCATCTCGTGTGGATAGAGTGGCGCGCTCTTTCCAGACAGAATGCCGGATGGGTCGAGGGGTATCTTGTGGCATGGTAAAGTCTATTGCCTTGATTTGGCGAAGCATGAATTTCATGTTTCCAGAGGAATGGAAAAGGGATCGGTGAGGGTCGCCACAGAGGTGGCCCAACATAGAGAAAAGCCGATAAGTGTCGGTGACAAACTGGTATTCTTTGATAAACCAGCGGGCTTCATTGGCCAATGTCTCTTCATCCCGTGCACGGAGAGCGCATGCTACAAAGGTGTCAGTAGATAATCCGTTGTCAGTGAATTGAATAAACTCACTGAACCAGCAAACATGAATCAATCGCGACTTGGGCTTGGAGTGCAACCAGATGCTTGCAATCGCCGCAGAATCAAGGGTCTCATAGGCTTCTTCTGGCTCGCCTTGTTCTGCTACAAGTAGAGCGTACTGCAGGAAGATGTCAAGCCACTCATCAAATGGTATTCCATGGTAATCGGTAGGAATGGAACCCTGCAAGGGCTCCTCTAAGATATCTCCTGAAAAAAAACATTAGCATGGCGTGTGCATATGGATGGATTGATAGAGGTGATATACCCAAAGTTTCTTGAAGACGGCCCGCCATTTGCTGCATTTCATCCATCATTGCGCCATTTTTGGTCTGGTTCTTGGGGTTCGCACCAGTCGAATATCCCCTAAAGGCAATACTTCGATCCATCGGATAAAATGCCCGATTGTTCCGGAAATCTCGCAATAGAGCATCAGCAATGTCTAGCCAATCTTCAGTTGCTGCAGGGACGCCGTCTTTGACTTGGGGATTCAACTCCAACAACTTCGAATACAAGAATTGAATATCATCTGTCCGAGTACCTTCGCCAGCTTGCGCCCGCCCTTTGCCAGGAACCGAAGGAGTTGCGTTCATTAGTGTTGCTGCCTGTGTAGGTTTGGGTGCAATCGACCGCAGGGGTCCCGATCCAGCCATTTTGAACTCTATGGCGAGCTGTTCAAGTCTGGTGTCCTTTCTTCTTCCCCGACTGCGATTTTCTTGTCGACCGATCAGGACTGCCTCACCGACATATTTCATAGCCTGTTCGTTCATCCCGAGACTCTCATAGAGCTTGGCTAGTAGTACACGCGACTCCATGTGACTAGCATCATGTTCCGCTACAAGTAGATAACAGCTTTCGGCATCTTCCATCTTACCCATCTGCATGTAGCATTCAGCCATGGCCATAAAGAAGCTGATATCGGCATGCTCAGCGGTCTGCTGGATGGGTGTATAATATCGGAGTGCTTCTTCGAAGAGACCGGCTTGTTTTAGAGCATCTGCCACTTCCCTAAAAAGATCACCATAATCGAAGATCCGGGCACCTTCAGAGTCGTCTTCTGGGTTAAGCCATTCAAAGTGATGCTGATAATATTTTGGTCAGTACTTCATTCGATCGTGGTCATTACCCCGAGATCACACTCACCAACGCCTCGCTGTGATGCTTGTCGCCCACTTTTAGGCGGAAAACCCCCATTTTTATACGAAGTTCTAGCGGAAGACCAAGCCCGTACGACTCTCGAGGCCACTGACCGGGTAGGAAACCATCGGTTTTGATGCGCCGAGGTGAATCATCAGCGTCCCATTCTCTGTCGTCATCCTCGTGACTGTCCCACACTGAGTCTTCTCCGCGACCTAGAAGCCAACGTGCAAGTATTTTCAAAGAGATAAGTCCTTCTTCGGGTTGATTGAGATAGCCAAAAAGCTCAACATAGATATTGAGATCCGACCAAGTGAACTCACAGTCCCCAGGGTCGAGAGATAGGTAGTGGTCCATGCTGTCCGCATAATAATCTGCTGCTTTTTGTACGTCATTGAGATCAATGTACGTTTCTGCAAGATGGCGCAGTGCTCTGGGACTGTGTGGAGAGTCCTTGAGTAGTCTCTCATACTCAGCTGCGGCTCGGCCATTGTGACCTAGCTCACGATAGATCGCTGCTCTCTGAAACCGAATGTTGGTGTTGCCAGGACTGACCTCGAGGATGCGACTGTAACAATAAGCAACATCATGCAATGCGGACTGTCGATTCTCTCCGGCGCGATCCAAGATGAGCCGAGCAACTTTGATCCAGACACCGGGATCTTTCGGTCTTGTATGAGCTCCATTGAAAAGAGCTGCCAAGGCTTTATCGTTTTCTCCTTGTGCAAGGAAGATTTCCGAGAGCAAAGAGTGGGCAGCAAAAATCTCAGGATTGATCTGAATCGCCTGCATCACTAGATCAATGGCTCGGTCATAGTCTCCATCAATGAAGGCAGAGGTAGCCCCCGAATGAAGAAGTTTAAATTCTGGACTGGGCTCTAGAGGTTTGCGTGGTCCTCTTTTGATGCCCTTTCCACCGCGAGCGCCATATCTTCCGGAAAATCGTCCACCTCCACGACGACGGCGCCTGCTGGCGCCTGAACGATCATCGTCATCATCCTCCGCTGGTTCGTCTTCTTCCGAATCACTAGTACTGTGTTAACTAAAGTCAGACATGCGGTGTCTTAGCACTCATACCTCTCGCTCTCGTCTCCGGATAGGGCAAAGTCCTCGTCCGATACTTCCCCGTCCCCAGGCACGGGAGGATACGACACTGGGGGATACCCTTGACTATCATATTCATCTGGGTAAAATCCATCAACCTCTTGCTCTTCTTCAACTTCGCCTTGGCCATCGTTTGGGTCTTGAGGATATTGATTGATGCTTTGAGGTTGACTTTGTGGGGCTTGGTCCCCAAACAAACGAGGATCAAGCACCGAGGAAATCAAATCCCCGGTATTAAAAGATTGATCATTTTGCCATGGATATTGAACATTCTCATTGATCTCCGGATATGCCGACTCTCTG